CGAACGGATAATCCAACCCCAAAGAACTAAAGTATATCAACCTTTTTTGGAACCCGCAAGTAAAAACTTTTGAACAGGTGACTCGTCCCCCGAGGTCGGAGTGTGATGCACTAGGAAGAGGTAAGAGCACGCAAGAACTCGTATGAAGTCAAGAGTGTGCGGTATTAACATTTATATTGGAGCTTATTAATCGTCACACCCATATGACGTGACCCGGTGGCGCGAGTGTGTGTGGTCGGCTATTGTACGAGTGTGTGCTTGTCCGGCGTACTTGAGTGATCAGATTTCATAAGTTTGTTGTTCAATGTTAAAATTACACACTTAACAAGAGTAAAAGCAATCATATCACTTAAAGTACTTTTCAATATGTTCCGATTTATGTTTTTTTATTTTTTATCAATATAGAGGATTTTTGGATACTTAGTTGTGATTTGGAATAGGGAGCAATAATTGGACTGAAGTTTAATGTGTTGTTCAAATCCAGCGCATCGATAAAATTGCTCAAAGTGGTCTGGCCTATTTTTTTTCACTTGGCCCAAAACCTTCATGGCTTGTATTTCTCATACGACCAGCCAACCGACCCTAACCTTGGAGATGGCCTGGCCATCTAGACCTTTCATCTGTTTCCTCTGGAAACGGAGGATGCACAGCCAACCTGGAAAACCATCGCTTTGGACGGTGCCTCCCCGGATACTGTCGCCCTGGGAGATGTCTCCGTCCGAAAGCCGTTCATCCTGGAGCCGTCGCCCCACACCTGCGTGGAACTATGAGAGTGACGACCTGGTGTAGCGCCGACCTAGGAGTTCCACCATGAGACTGAAGACGTATTGCAGGGCCACCGACCTACGAAGTAGATCCGCCCGACCTGGAGCTCGATGGTCCACCTGAATCATGACGGTCAACCAGGGGTGTGCCGCTGGCGGATACGACGTAGCATTGTTAGCTATTGCCTGCGTGAGACACGACGGTGGGGTGATGATTGCTCCTACCAGGTCTTGGAAATCTAAGATCTCCCATTCCAGGATTCATGATTTTCCTTTTCTGTTGATTTTTCAGATTGTTTTCGGTGCATTTTCTCCAAGATTGTGAATTCAAGACCTGAAAGTTTGTTAGAAACCTTGGATCTTCGGTGCTTTTTCAGAAATTTCATGGGTAATTCCTACTAAAGTGAGGTGAGAGACAATAGAGACTCTAAGTGAAAGCACCAATGTTGGTCCAAAATAGGACGCTCGTATGCTTTTAGGAAAGTTACGTACGAAACTCAAGCAGAAAATCAATAAAGCAATACGAAAATGGAAAGTGCTAGAGAAGTTTTGTAGCCAGAAATAGCATATAGAAATCGCTTCCCCTAATTTGAATTACAACCCGCCTTTTATAGGCGTATACAAATCGTAACCGCTACCGATAATAATGACTAATTAAATACAACATTAATACGGAATTAAATACATAATTAATAGCGCGTTAATTGCTTGACTGTTACTCTTCCGGACTGGGAGGTCGGCCGGATTGGCAGGCTCCCCGCTGGGCTGGCAGGCAGGCTCCAGGCTGTGGACTTGAATCCACGGGTCCAAGTTCGGAGCTTGGGTTGATTATGCTCTGTGCCTAGTCCCATAACTCCATCAATCTTCCATGTTTGACAACCATAAAACTTTCTTCAAGTGCCCCTACGGCTGAAACCAACCCACATCGATAGTACACTTGGGATAGATAGTGAACGGATGTTTGTACAGATGATAATCTAACAACAACAACAATATAATAGAAGCAAAGAATCACAGAATGATTTAACAATATTTGAACGATGAACTCCCTCTTCCTTATACCGTCAAAGCCTTACAAAATGATATGTGCGTTATTGTGCATAGAGGCTTAGAGTTTCTCTTAAGTTAGCATCCTTTTATACATAAGGATGTCTAACTTAAGGCTCACAAGGGGGCTAATGGGATGAAATACATTTGTGGCCCATATTACACATTTAACTAATAACTACACAAATACAAAGATATTTAATTAGATTGGACACCATAAAATATTCCCAACAATCTCCCCCTTGGTGCTCAATCGTGTTCAATCAGCATTGCAGCGCAAATATCTTTGTCTTTGTTGTTATTCAGCTTCCTTTGTCTTTGAATTTGACTTCTTGAGAAGGCTTTATAAAGAAATCCTTGCAATCTCCCCTTTGATGTCTTCTTTTCAATTTGATCTTTGATGCCGGGAGTTGAGGAATCTTTTGTTTGTAATCCTTGCCTTCCAGAAGTAGCTCTTGATCAGCTTGAATGAAGTCCTAAGGCGCCTTTAGAATGAATGTTCTGATAATATTCAGGCGCACACGGGATTCATCTTCAGTACACAAGTATTTAACATCTGTCTTCTCCACAATGTAGTCTTTTTGACTATTTGAAGTGAATGCGTCTGAGGAGACCTTGTCGGCGGCACAACGGAAAATGATGGTTGAATTGTGAGCGTAGCTGTCCATTTGATTCGAAGCTTTTGATACAGATAGTAGAGAAAGTATTGGAGGAGAGAAGTGTCCGAGAATGATTTGTTGAGAGTTAACAACATGTGGACCACTCTACCCCTCATGACGATCCGATGAATCGGGGCATCATGCCTTTATTCTTTTATTCTGGGAAACAAAACAGAAAAAAAATCAGAAAGGTAAAATGATAAAAACCGGATACACTAAGGTGTTCCGTTATCACAACATCAATGTAAACACTGATGTGTGGCCTGTAAAAATGATAGAAGCATTAAAGCTCTAACAGGACTTCCAACCAGTCATTGTGAAGCATCTAAAGTAGATGTCACTCTGGTTGTTATGGCATGATCATAAATATCAGCAAAGATAACGTAGTCTCGAGGTCCTGTAGACGCCCGTTATCATCACTATAGAGATAAACTCAGAAGCGATGGCCTGAACATGTTGGTGTTTTCTGTGTTGCAACAGCAGTACTTCCTTCCAATCATTGGTCTTCATCTATAATAGATGAGCCCTATGGAAGTTCTCGCGGGTCATGAAGACATGCAACTGACTCTAAAAGGTGTTTGTGTCCTACAAAATTCAAAACATTTGGGAGTGAGATAACTAGACACGACGTGATCAATGAATGTTCAGTGGCGTGGGACTGTGGGCCACTGTAGTCAGTATCAGTCGCCTCAGAAAGAGACGGTGATAAGAGATGAGGTTCCCCGTGAAATATGATTAAACACATGTCTGTTGGGAGACAAGTGAGTGGGCTAGGGTAGGGTTGTACATGCGCCGTTTGGACAAAATGATGCGACTTCTACCCGGGATCTGAATAAATTCACTCCTGAACCTATGGGAATTGTCCAGAGTATTTGAGTGACTGGGAGTAATTTTCTTGATTCATAGTGCAATTGAGGTAGTAGACTTGTCATTGATTATTTTTCTCCTGCTCACATGAGCCTTCTACTTCCTCACTCTCATAGTGTTCACTCAGTTACTCACTCACTCTCGACTTTGTCCCTTATGTAGGCTTAGTTGAGTTTACTAAGCCATTGAGACTTATCTCTCATTTCTCTTTGCTCTTTTCTCTGCGTGCTCCCCCTCAACTGGAGCATTCAGTAGGATGCACTCAACAATGTTTGGTGCTTGGGAGGAGAACTTTGAAAACTCCTCCTCAAAATCTGCATCCCTGAGAGAATCCTTGCATGGTAAATTGTCTGGCACCAGGAGGAGAAAAATGAAACCCCCCTCAAAAGTTGCAACTCGTGTTGTTTGTTACCCGGGGAGTAAAGTAGAAAACTCCCCCTTGGAATGTGCTTTCTTCGTTGTTTGGCATCAGGAAGATAGAAAAAGAAACACCCCCTCAGAATATGCACTTATTGATTGTTCTTGGCGTGTAGTATACATGTCAATACTCCCCTTGATAATGTGCACCAGATGATTGCTCGCAGCTCATCTTCATGCCCGCCATGTGTGTGGAGCAATCAGATCAATTACCACACATGACGGACGCAACGGAACATATTAGGTCTTCTTTGGTACCCATTTCCAGATGGGTCCTTCCTTTGCAGCATTGAGAAACCGTTGCACTTTCTGTTTGATTTGGGATCCTAGGCTAGCTGGATGAAAAGAGATTGACAGTCTTAACTTTTCAGCTTTAGCCTTAGGAACCCAATGTTGTTTGAGCTTAGGTGCAAGAGAAGTTTCACTATCAGTGAATGAATGACCAGACAAATAATCCATTAAGATTGGTTCTTGAGAGAGTCTTCTCAAGTGTTTGCGTGAGTGAACCTTGAGAGGATATTTCAACCATGGTAATTTATACGCTGTGGAAGCTAGTTTCTTTGGATACTTCTGATCATTCAAACCTTTATCTTCATTTGAGGAGGCAGCAGACTTAGAGCAGAAGACTTTTCTTGATTTGACACATTTCAGCGTGGAAGAGCTTGAACAGTAGTCGTTGTTGACATATGTCTTTCTTTTGGCATAGAACAGAGCACTTGAACACGATTCTTCTTTGACGAGATTCTTCTTCCTTCTTTATTCTTCTAATACGATTTAACACCTTCCTTATTGTGTCATCATCTTGACCTAAGAAAAGACCATTATCCATATCCTTTCCAGGTTCTAACACATAAATATTTTTAAGAGTTTTAAAACCCAAATCATCTTTGTATTTCCTTGAAATGTCATGATAACACAAATAATCAGGGTCGAATCCATAGATTGTATCCACGTCCCCATTCACATACTGTAAAGGCTTGAACACCCACCTCCCACTATGGTTAAACCTCAGGTTGACCAACTCACTCATTTTTACAGTACAAGCAATACGAACGATCGAAATACCTTACAGCGTAAATGGTTGCTTACAGTCCATCACTTCTAATCTTCTCTGGCGAGGTTGCTTACTGTCCATGAAAATCGATTTAGGGTTCTAAATGCTCATGCGATGTTAAAGCGCAGGGAAAAGGGGTGTTAGTGGGTGGATAGAAATTAAGGTAAAAGATTATACTTGTGTATTGACCCACTTAAAACGTTAATGTCTCTCAGCTTCATTAAAAACCTTACCGTCCATTTTGGAGCCTTATACTTTTCTGGCTCTACCCCGTAGTCCGTATTAGGCAAATCTTACGCAGTAGTTTGTATCAAATCATCGGAACTCGCTCAGATTTTTCAGGTAAATTGCTGTTTTATGTACTCTATGCTATTACAATGTTGCTTTCGTGAAGTATAAATCCTTTTTACGCCGATTTCATCGACTGTGGTTGAACCGTGCGCCGATGAAGAACTACAGAGTCTGGTTTAGGGATTTTCTTCCTTTCTCTGCGTCGATTATCTCACACCTTCTCATTACTGTTGTTCTGGAGCTAATGAAGGCAGGTGAATCGGCCTTATGTTCAATGGGCTTTCCTTTGTCAATTTCCGTTATTTCTACCATTTGGTAAAGTTCGTTTTTTTTTCCGGTTCGGAAACCATTGTTGCATTAGGGTTGACTTTAGGTTTGAGCAATTGGATTAGTATTACTCAAATAACATATGGGGTGATGTTGGTGATGTTTTTTTCACCATTATTGCTTCGCCTCCATTGAAGAAATAAGTTTTATGTGTTCAGAGATTTCATCTCATTATTTTTTATAAAAGGTTCGGACTCCAAACCTAATGGCCCCGTTTGCCCTTCTACCTATAACATTGGCGGAGTAGTTAGACACTACTCATCAGGCTTATTGTAGTGTTAACCAATTTTTATTATACACTTCTATTCAAGACAGGTTTAATTATGTTGCTGAGCACACACCACAGATGGAAGCTGCCATTACTCTTGTAGTGTTAACCAATTTTAGACATTTAATTGATATTTTAGATTCTTTCCACCTAGCTCAACATGGTTCATTAGTATGCATCCCGTTAACATTGATTCACTTGATATTCATTTTAGGCTGCTAATTGACATTTTAAACAAGAGAAATTTATTTTCGAATGTCTGTCTGGTTGACTTTTTTTGAGGGAGTGTTAAATGAACCACTTCCCTCATTTGGTTCACATAGTTATGAGTTAGTAATTTAGTATCCCCCCTCGTGTTGTGGTTCACCCCATTTGTCTTTTTTAAGGAAAACTTGTATTTTAACTTATAGCATCCCTTCCACCCATCCACTCACTCCTTCCAGCAAAACGCATCAAGATTACATTTGAGTATTATCTCAAAAAGGATGCACCTCATCCTCGAAGGACTCGAGAATCAGCTGAATAATTTGTTCAACAGGTTAAATTGATGAATACTATAATATAATCACAATATTATGGTTGGTAGAATACTAGAATGTGATTTCCACACATGGTATTTACAAATATCCATGCAGTGCAAGACTACAAGGTTGCCTGATAGGATCCTGGGCTAAAGAGAATAATACTACGTATTACTTAGTGGGTTTATTATGTTCAAGGGGCTCCAGACCTGATATTATTTATTTATGGGCTGGCCCGTAAGGAAAATATTATAAAGGGAGAACTATCAAATAAACCCTCGAACTTTCATAAAAAGTGCAAATAAGCCCTTTTACAGGAGGCTTTGTCCGGCTGTCGCCATTTGGGGCGGTTTCCGCTGGAATTTTTTGATGAGTTTTTTTGAAAATCTTCTTCATTAAGTCTAGTTTACCCATACCAAATTTCAGCTAAAAATTCAATCGAGAAGGCAGTCAAATGATTTTCTGAAGTATAGGGCGCTACCTAACTGCGCAGTTATCTTCACAAATTCATTTTACTGCCTTCCCGATTGAATTTTTAGCTGAAATTTGATATGAGTAAACTAGACTTAGTGAAGAAGATGCTCAAAAAATTTCATCAAAAAATTCCACCAGAAACCGCCCCAAATGGCGACGGCCGGACAGAGCCTCCTATAAAAGGGCTTATCTGCACTTTTTATGAAAGTTCGAGGACTTATTTGGTAGTTCTCCCTATTATAAATAAGAGCTGAGAATAGAATAAGGGTAGGCAGAAATTAGTTGGGATTGGGACTTGGGAGTGCTGAGACTACTCGAAGTGTCTTGATATGTTCTTCTCTTTCTTTCTGCCTACGCTATTGTGATCCAGTTAAGCTTTTGAAAACTTCATCAATAAAATACTAATTTTTACTACTTTGCTTGAAGTCTTTGATACCAGTCATAGAAACAGAAATCGCTAAAGTAGACGCGACCTGCGTACCGATCGCTGTGTACCCAATCGCGGTACGAAAGCGATCCGGTCGCACCTCGGAACGCCATACGGTACGATGCTCCAGTCGTTCGCAATCGCACCTTGAAGCGATCGTAATCGCAGTCTGATACGACTTAATTCGTATGAAGACACGTTCATAAAATCGAAGCTGGTCGTTCCGTCCGCATTTCCCCATCGATCGCAATTTGAAACAAACTGAATCGTCGTTTGAAACGCATGAGTCGCGCAGGTTACAATATGTGTACGCTTCGTTTCAAGACGCCTGTAGTAATAGACGTAAGGACGAAGGATTTCGAACCAGCTCTTCGTTTACTGGTCCAAATTAATCCAACTCATAAATTTTACATTTTAATTAACTCCTATAAATTGTGGGACTATGTTTCTGTTTTGCTTGAAATGTTTCTTGAATATTAATGTTTTTGCTTTTGTTAATGTTATGAAAAATCATGTTATGAAATTTGTTTTTGTTCAATGTTGAAATCTGTATTCTATAATTCAGTTTTATATTTATATTACAGTACCAAAATATTAGGTACAACGTACCGAACATATGGTACATCGTACCGAACGCGTACCGAAATGAACCTACCCCCCTCCGAATCGGATACGCTAGATCTAGCGAACCGCGTTCCCGTTCCTCGTTCCCGTATCGAATCGTACCGCGAACCATGTGACTATGATACCAGTAGAAATTACTCCCTCCGTATTTTAAAGTTCCCTGCACTTTCCATTTTGGGATGTATTTAAAAATTTCATACACTTTCCCTTTTTGGTAAGTCTTTCCTACTTTTTCACCTTCTCTCCTACGTTTTCTATACTATTCATTACCTCTACTATTTTCCCTTAAATCTTGTGCCATAACCTAACGTATGGATCTTTTAAATACGGAGGGAGTACTATTTTATTGATGAAGTTTTCAGAACCTTAACTGGATCACAATGGTGTAGACAGAAAGAAAGAGAAGAAAAGATCAAGACACTTCGAGTAGTCTCAGCACTCCCAAGTCCCAGTCCCAACTAATTTTTGCCTATCCTTATTCTACTCTCAGCTCTTATTTTATAATATGGAAAAATGTACAAATATATCCCTGTAGTATGGATGTGAGAACAAATATACCTTTATTTTATTTTTCGGAACAAATATACCCTTGAAGTATATGTGAAAGTGCATATATACCCCTGAACTTTTCAAAAGGTTCAAAAGTATCCCTCATGTTCTTATAAAGGAGCAAATTTACCCTTATTGACTTTAAATTGATAAAATAAATTTCAAAAAACACCAAAAATTAATTATAAATTCAAAGTTAAAAAATAAAAATTTTAAAAATGTACTCGTGTCCAATTCTCCCTTTTATTGTTCGCATATCACAATTTAATATTGTTATTATAAAATATTATTTCAAAACTTTACTATATACGAAGTATTTAAGATTCTTTTAAAAAAGTGTTAACATATGTGTTGCATTGTAAAAAATATATTAATTTTTTGCAATCTTTGTACTACAAAATTACATATTTTGTATGATGATAAATAGTCCAAGATTACAAATTAGTGGATTTAATTTTATTAAGGTTAAACAAAATCAAAGAATGTTATTTCCAAAAATATTGCAATGTGTTCAAAATTTCAGAACAAGACCAAAATTAATATTTATGATTTTGAAGTGCTTCATTTACAACAAAAAATAATAATTTTGCAATTTAAAATTAAGGAATTAATATTTTAACATAATAATAAATATTTATTTTTAAATTTGGAATTTATAATTTATTTTGAGTGTTTTAAGAAATTTATTTAATCTATTTAAAGTCAATAAGGATAAATTTGCTCCTTTATAAAAATATGAGGGGTATTTTTGCACCTTTTAAAAGTTCAGGGGTATATATGTACTTCAACATATACTTCAGGGTATATTTGTAATTTTTCCCTTTATAATATATTCCTTACGGGCCGGCCCATAACTAAATAATATCAGGTCTGGACCCCCTTAAACATAATAACCCACCAAGTAACATTATTCTCTTTAGTCTAGGATCCTATCATATCTCCCCCCTTAGACAACCACCTTGTCCTCAAGGTGGGTGATAGGAAACAACCCTCACAATCAGCTTCTTCCTTGCGCCTCTCCCTTCCCAGTACTTCAGTTCGGGTGTCTGAAGTGGTAACACCTCCCCATTTGAACGGAAAACTTCATCAATGAAGCGAATCATAATGTTGTTGATCTTTATATTTCTCATAAATTTCCTTGACTTTTGCTTTCAGTTCATAGCCATGGACTTATAGTTTTCTTCTTTTTGGTGCCCTCTCAATCTCTTTGTCAACACAATGATTTTCTTTGCCAAAGTTTTCATCTCCTTCAGCGCCCCATTTCTGATCTCTTACAGGATCTCCAAGTCAGCTTTATCCTCCCTAAATGCATCAGCTATATTTTTTTGGGTCCATCCTTGCCTGTCAGATGAAGGAAGCTTGCTTGCTCTGCAATAACTCCAATCTTTGCTGCTATTCGTCAAGCTCAACCTGGTTCTGACCAGAGTTGTAAGGAAAAGGACCATACTCTCATACTATTTGCACTGCTTAAGCTTCTGCTCCTCCAAACTATCACAGCATATTGTGAGAAGAGATAATTGGTAAAGCATCGGAGAAAGTTCCAAATCATTACAGATCCTCGGCAGCATGTGAATGATAGAATTATTTTTTCTTGGCATAGTTTGTCTTATAAATTTTCCATCATTTGCAATGGAGCCAAAGATTCATTTTTTTGGCTTGAGATTATGATGGAATAAAGCAAAATGGCTCACTAAACTGTCTACGCTTCTTTGTTATGGAGCAGCAGTCAGTTCATGCAATTTTGGACACGATTTTCACTATGGGTCATCCGTAAACCGTCTCTCTGTGCTTTAGTACAGGGGTAAGACTGCGTACATCCGACCCCCCCTTACCCCACCGTAGGTGGGAGCCTTTGGGGCACTGGGGTAAATGAAAATGAAAATGATAGTTTGTCTTATAAAACTTCATCAGCCTACAGAAATTGTGCGCAACAGAATTGCTTGCACTTGCAGAAACTAAAGCAGACACTCTCAGTTCAACCTTCAGCTGTTGAAGGCGAAGGTCCAAAAAAATTGAAGCTACAGAAACTATTTCCTCAGGTCTGATACTTCAAATTCATCATCTTTAACTGCTGAATTTATATAATGTTCAGTTTTGAATTTATCCTCTCCTTCCAAAGGACATTCATAATCTTTTCTGCTGAGTTTTTTGAAATTCACCTCTACCTTCCACAAACTGGCCAACCACACCCACTCCAGGATCACTTCAGTTTTCTCCAAGTCCAGCAAATAGAAATCCTGAGTGATTATTAAATTTTGCACCCAATTCTGCTCCCCTTCACATAAGCCCGTGCAAGATAACCAATTATCAATGGCAATTCCAGAACTCCCCCGACTTACTCCCCCATCCGTGCCAGAACCAATTAGTGTAGGGACCTCATCAATATTCAATAAGAAGAATGATATATCCATACGTCTTAACCTCTCTAATCAATGTAGTCACACGAGCCTCCAATTCACCAGAGAAGTACAAGAATTTCTTCATAACAGTAAGATGCCCATCACATTAGCAACTTGACAACTTGAGTTTAATTTAGAGTCCGGAACTAATCCCAACTGAGACTGGGGAGCAAAACCTTTCACTCCATTGTAGTACCGAACAACACAACCGTGCTTTTCAATCTTTGTTATCCATCCCTGTTCGATTAGTCCCTTGTGTGAACTGATGATTTCCTGAAGATTCTTTCCATCATTCCCCTCTGCTATTTTTTCATTTTTCTCTATAAGGGCAGTCCCGGCACCAAAATATAGCAAATTTGTTATCACAATTTCCATAATTGTTCCACTTCCTGAGATATTGCAACATCATCTATTGGCCGATGCATTGTGGCAACCATATGTATAGTCTCTGATTTCATTTCATTTTCTAGGACATTGGTGAATGCTGCATCTCTCATTCTGCCATTAATTTCCTTTATAGAAGCAGTATAAGAGGTAGCGTGAGAATTGTCTCTATTTGTCCAGTGACATTAAGGATTTGCTGCTGAACATAGTCTGAGCTTTCCGAAGTATTTGAACCAGCAATTTTATCATCAGCAGATTCATATTCCATGATAATCGAGGATTGAGTCACCACAGAAGATTTCTCCTCACATCCCTCATCACCATAGATGAATGTATCTTCAGAGGGGAGCTGTAGCTGATTCACATACTGCTAAGGGAACGATGCTGACTCAACTTGCGTAGTGTGAGAAGCGGAAATCTGCGATGAAACCTGCGAACAAGGTAGATCTGTTTGCGATGGCGCTGGTAAAGTTGAGAATGGCAAAGCTTGCAAACTGGTAAACACTGCTCGTGGTGAAGATGGTGAACTGGAAGAAGATGCTGGCGACTGAATCGAAACCTGCGAACCGGTTGAGTCAGCAAGCGATGAAGTCAGCAAATGGGGGAGATTCTGCTTGCCACACGGTCTGCAATGGTGATGAATCTTTGCTTTCCAAATTCCTGCAGCGTCTCACGGTCCTAGATCGTCCTCGCCGGCGACGTTGTTGCCACGGCTTGGTGCGCATCTTGTCCAACCAGATCCTCATCTCCTTTGCCCAATCACTTTCAACTTTTTCCACGAGCTTCTCCACTTTTCCGCGCTCAACCTTTTCCGTGAGCTTCTCCACTTTTCCGTGCGAAGCATCCTGATCGGATCTTCCATGCTGCCTGCGCGGTTCCTTTCCGCCTTGCATAGATAGGCGCTTCTCCATGTTCGCATGCAAACCAGAGGAGGCCACATTCTGTTCTAGCCTTCGATGCCCCCCCCCCCCCCCCCCCCCCCCCCCCCCCCCCCCGTGCTGCTCCATTTCTTCTCTCTTGACAATGTCGATCAAAGCTTCCTGGGGTTGACGGCTCTGATACCAACGATAGAGACCTCAAGCAAAGCAGTAGAAAGTAGTATTTTATTGATGAAGTTTTCAAACCCTTAACCAGATCACAATGGCGTAGACCAAGGTAGTCAAAGTCGAGCGTCTGGGCGCTTAAGCACACCAGACACAACGCGATACATGTCTAGCGCTTGAAAGATGACCAGGCGCACCCTCGTGTCTCAGGCGCAGCGTAGGCGCATAAAGCGCTGAAGCGCAATAGTCGTATTAGGCGCTCGCCCATTGCGCCTGACAGGGGAATCGTTTATTTTAAGTTTACTGAGGCTGTTTCACATGTGCGATCAAATAAGACCGTTAAGAAACCCATATTTTTAATAAAGCCCATGCAAATACGGTCAAAACAACGTAACCTACGCTAAACACACAACGTAATTACGTAAACCCACTGTTACATGTTCGCTACCTCCTCTTGTCCCTCCACATCAACTGCAAAGCTTGCAGCAGTGCAGCACTCAACGTTCAGAGTAAACTTTCTTCTTCTTCATCTTCCATTCATTCCATTTTATTTCTTTTTTCATTTTTCAGCAGCTACTTCTTCTTACATACTACCAGTATTTTTTTCAGCATGTATATGTAAAGTGTAAAGTACCAGCTACTTCTTCTTGTACTCTATGTCTCTATAGAACTCTTGTTCTACAGTCTAAACAACTCAAACATATATATGTAAACTACCAGTATATTTTTTCACCATGTATATGTAAACTAACAGCTACTTCTTCTTGTACTCCGTAGAATTCTTGTTTATATGTCTCAGTTAGTCAATTCTACAGTCTAAACAACTTAAACATATATATGTAAACTACCAGTATATTTTTTCACCAAGTAGATGTAAACTAACAGCTACTTCTTCTTGTACTCTGTAGAATTCTTGTTTATATGTCTCAGATAGTCAATTCTAGTCTAAAATACTTAAAACATACTACCTCCGTTCTTAAATAAATGCAACACTTTGACTTTTACACTATTCACATGTTCTAATTTGACTACGTTTTATTTATTAATGTAATAATATTATTTTATGAAAAATATTGTTAAACTTGTCTCATTGTAAATTTTCATAATCTATTTTTTTTAAATTTTTTTACTAATACAAAATCATTTATATTAATGGTCAAAGTTGTGTCTCGGCAAGTGTGAAATGTTGACCGTTTCATTTATTTAAGAACGGAGGAAGTATATATGTAAACTAGTTGTATACTTGTTTTTTTACCATGTATAAGTAAACTACCAGATACTTCTTGGAGAAGTACATACTACCAGTATACATACTATCTAGAACATACTACCAAACTACCCTTTTTTTGACCATGTATACATACTAACAGTCCATACTACGAAACTACCATTTTTTTACCATGTATACATACTACCAGTCCATTTTTTGTGACATGGGTTGCTGTATACTTCCTCCGTTCTTAAATAAATGCAACGGTCAACATTTCACACTTGCCGAGACACAACTTTGACCATTAATATAAATGATTTTGTATTAGTAAAAAAATTAAAAAAATAGATTATGAAAATTTACAATGAGACAAGTTTAACAATATTTTTTTCATAAAATAATATTATTACATTAATAAATAAAACGTTGTCAAAGTAGAACATGTGAATAGTGTAAAAGTCAAAATGTTGCATTTATTTAAGAACAGAGGTAGTATATACTTAATTTTGGTTAATCGTGGCTTTATTTTGGTTAATCGTGACTTTATTTGATCAAAACATGACTTTTTAATGTAGTTGGTTCAATATGGTGTTATATACTACGTACATCATGCTTGATTATTGGAGAATAGTATTTGCGATATTTTCTGAGCAATGTGCCTGACATGAGTCAGGTGGGCGCTTTTTTGCGCATTGCGCCTCAGGCGCTGGAATTACCCTATCGCCTTGAGTGCGCCTCATGACTTTGACTACCTTGGCGTAGACAGAAAGAAAGAGAAGAACAGATCAAGACACTACGAGTGTAGCCTCAGCACTCCCAAGTCCCAGTCCGAGTCCCAACTAATTTCTGCCTACCCTTATTCTACTCTCAGCTCTTATTTATAATATTTTCCTTATGGGCCGGCCCATAACTAAATAATATCAGGTCTGGACACATAATAACCCACTAAGTAACATTATTCTATTTAGCCCAGGATCCAATCATTGCCCCTAGAATTGAACCTGGTACCTTTGGCATATTAACCCGTTCAGCTACGTCTACTGGCAAAACTGTATCTTCTTTTCTTTCTAGACTAGTAGGTAATGTTTTTTTGGCATATTATATGAGCTGTTGTGTTTTCTGCAGATTGCCCATCCATCACATATATTATTATTGGCATAACAGTAGAGTTTGGTTGGATCATCAAGTATGGCCAAGCACCATCCTGATTTGATTATGTGCAGGAAGCAACCAGGAATAGCCATTGGACGTCTTTGTGAGAAATGTGACGGGAAGTGTGTGATTTGTGATTCTTATGTGCGTCCTTGCACGCTCGTCCGTGTTTGTGATGAATGCAACTATGGATCTTTCCAGGGCAGATGTGTCATTTGTGGGGGACTTGGAATTTCTGATGCATACTACTGCAAGGAATGCACACAGCAGGAGAAGGATCGTGATGGTTGCCCTAAAATAGTCAACCTTGGGAGTGCCAAGACTGATCTTTTCTACGAGCGTAAAAAGTATGGTTTTAAGAAAAGATGATTGGTAGAGAATGATGATGCCAAAGGCGAAATTGCTAAAGTTTGTGTTTTTAGTCTTTTTTCTGTCATCAAAATGTTACTTTTGAGTTTTGATGGATGTAGCACTTGTGTGAGACCCTCCCTTTGTGTCACAGCACTTGCAAGTATTTACTCTGTAGCTATTAGTGTTTGGAGGCAGTAGAGAAACTAGGGATGGACTCGGGCCGGGTGGCCCGACCTGGAACCGGCCCGGGACCGGTACTGTTCCGGCCCGACCCGGTGGCCCGGTCAGTGACCGGTCCGGGTAGGCCCGGCCCGTGGGTTTTCCGGTCCGGGCTCGGGTCACCCAAAACAAGGCCCGACCCGGCCGGGCCCGGGCCCGGTTCGGGCCAAAAACTATTTTTTTTTCTTTTTTTTCAATTTTTTTTTAAATTTTCGGGTTGGGCTGGGTATTTTGGGCCATTTGGGGTGGTTTGGGGGGTTGGGGGTGGGAGGGGGTTAATTAGGAAGAGGAAAACAAAAAAAAAAATATAACGGGCCCGGCCCGGCCTGGCCCGGACCCGGTGGTTACCCGGGCCGGTCCTGGGTCCACCATTTCTGACCCGCCGGCCCGCCCGGGCCTAGGCCCGGCCCGGACCCGGCCCGGACCCGAGTCCATCCCTAAGAGAAACAAGGTTTGGGTGAATCTATTTTTAAATATGTCAATATGTCCAAAAAGTCAATTAAACATGTATTAGGATGATTAAGAAATCCTTGACTTTTAAAAAATGCTCAATTGAATGATTTAAGATGTTTTTACTTGGATTGAATTTTTTTGGTCTGAACTGGTATGATATCGTAATTGTTTGGTCTCTGTGTATTTTATAACTATTCAGGTCTGGTCGAATTGAAAAAATTCAAAATAAAAAATTCTAAGGAGGTAATCAATTGATTTTTTTTAATTACACGTGTGGTGACCCACGTGGTAATTGTTTTATTTTTCTTTTCTTTTTTCACTCTCTCACAATTCCCTTTTTCTTCCGTGAATCATTTTTCTTGCATGGTTCTTGTTTCTATCTTTCTCTCTGTAATACCCCAAATTTTCCACATAAAAATAATAATTTATTCAAAGCAAATATTAAAACTTTTCTGAAAATATTAGAATTGTGCAGTGAAATTTCAAAAGCAATAAGTGATGTACCGTCGGTATGTCACACTCGGTACTCACATAATCGAGTCCACAGACTAAGACGTACCGTCTAGGGATGGACTCGGTTCGGGCCGCCCGGCTCGGAACCGGACTAGTCCGAAACCGGCCTGGCCCGGGAAATCGGTTCCGGTTACGATTCGAGCCTAGGCCTGAGGGCTTAGGTGGTTCCAGGCCTGGTTCGGGTCTTTTTTTTGTTTTTTGGATTTGGGCTGGGTTTAGTTCGGCTGGGCTGGGTATTTCTGAGGGTTTGGGGGGATGGGGGGTGGGGGTGAAATAAATAAGAAAAAAAATTGAATTGGAACCGGCCCGGCCCGGAACCGCCGCCTACCCAGGTCAGTTCCGGTTCACCCATTCCCAAAAAAAGGCCCGACCGGACTCAAACCTGAACCGGACTGGTCCGGCCCGGGTCCATCCCTAGTACCACCAAGCAATTTCATAAGTGACGTACCACCAAGCAATTTCTTAACTTAAATAGATTTTAAACCCCCAAAATAACAATAAACTTTAATAATAAAATTTGAAATGAGTTACTCAGTCAACATTAATCTCGAGTTCTAGTGGATGCTTTCGAAACCGATGTTATAGTAAAATCTTAACCTGTACAGAACCAAGTACAAAAAGTAACAAAAATTAGATTGAAATTCTAAGTAAGGTTTACTCAACCTTGTAAAATGATATAGAGGCTGTTTGGCAACCCTCATTTTCGGCTTATCAAGCTTATCAATCAACTTTTTTACCAAACACGTAAATTTTGCTTTCGCGCACTGAATTGTGTAATAAGCCGAAAAAGTAAGGTTGAAGTTACTTTTCTGGCTGTATTGGCTGAAGTTACTGTAGATGACCATTTTAGCTATTTTTATATATAATTTTTTCTTTATTTTATTAATAAAATATATTTTAAAAATATTTTTTTCTTGTATCAGCAGAATCAGCCAATGCAGCCACTTCAGCCAGAACTTAATAAATTTCAGCAGAATCAGCCAGAACAGCCGATTTTCGTGCTGCCAAAGGGGCTCATAATTTGATACATATACAATTTTTCAAAATACAGGTAAAAAAATCTTCTCAAAATACTTCATAGTATACTCGAATATTGTTTAGAGACTAAGCATGTTTTTACTTAGATTTATTTCAATCCCAGACCATATCAGACTAGTTTAAACCAACCTTCGATGTTCTAAAATACACAGAGATTAGACATTTATCAGATCAGATCAGACACGAAACCAAATCAGACCAGATCAGGTCAGAAAATTTCAGCCCAATTGGAAACATTGCAGACCATACAATTTTTTTTTCATCTCATAGCATATCACATACGGAGTATTTCATTTTCATCATTTTCATTTACCTCAGTGCCGCAAAGGCTCCCACCTACGGTGGGGTAAGGGAGGGTCGGATGTACGCAGTCTTACCCCTGTACTAAAGCACAGAGAAATTGTTTTCGGATGACCCATAGTGAAAATTGTGTCCAAAATTGCATGGATTGACTGCTGCTCCATAACAAAAAGCGCAGACAGTTTTGTGAGACATTTTGCTTTATTCCATCATAATCTCAAGCAAAAAAATGAATCTTTGGCTCCATTGCTTTATTCCATCATAATCTCATAGCATATCACATACTCCCTCCGTCCCCTTATAATTGTCCCATTTTTTCATTTTTGGATGTCCCTTTATTATTGTCTCATACCATATTTGGTAACATTTGTGTTGTTCTAATTCATTCTTACTTTATTTCCACTTTATCAATTCATTACCAACCACATAATTCTACTTTTCTTAAAAACCACACCACTCCCTTCCGTACCAATATTAGGGGGACGGAGGGAGTATATACAAGTAAAATATAGAGTAATACTTTGTATTACAATTTATCAAAATACTTCTTCAAAATACTAAGTAATATATTTAGTATATCATTTATAGCTCACAAATTAACATTTTAAAACTTTGAATAGTCACAACTCCATAGGAGTAAAATATGAGTGCCTGTACCGTAGGACCGGTATACGGTGAGCACCGTATACCGGTACGGATTTAAATTTTTTTTTTCCTTTTGTTTTTAAAAAATGGTAATAACTTTTTTATTTTTGATCCGATTTTTATAAAATTTATATCAACATTTTTTATTTTTCATGATCTTTCAAATGAGACCAATATTGCCTATGTAATTTTAACATATTAACATTTGCATGTAAAATATGTGACTTTACGTGTTAAAATATGTAACTCACGTTCAGTCAGGCCAAATGCAACTCGTGTGTATAAATATGTATCTCTACGTGTAACAATATGTAACTTTACGTAAAAAAATATGTAACTCGCGTTCAGACAGGTCAAATGCAACTCGTGTGTATAAATATGTAACTCGCGTGTATAAATATGTAACTTTACGTGTAAAAATATGTAACTTTACGTGTAAATATATGTAAGTCGCGTTCAGGCATGTCAAATGCAACTCGTGTTTATATATATGTAACTCGCTTTTAAAAAGATGTAACTTACTTATAAAAAGATGTAACTTGCTTATAAAAAGATGTAACTTGCTTATAAAAAGATGTAACTCGCTCATAAAAATATGTAACTCAATGTATTATCAAATGTAACTGAGGCCACTGATCCACTCCCAAAAAGATTCGATCTTCTATTTCACAAACCTATCATCTCCCAAACAGATTCGATTTTCCTTATAATCCAATACTCATTAATATAATAGTTCGATAATTTCTTAAAATTACATAAGCAATATTGGTCTCATTTGAAAGATCATGAAAAAAAATGTTGATATAAATTTTATAAAAATCGGATCAAAAATAAAAAAGTTATTATCATTTTTTAAAAACAAAAGCAAAAAAAAAAAGGGGGGGGGGGGGGGGGGGGGGGCAAGCTGCGTCGTTTTGCAACCGGGCGCACCATCCTCATGGTGCGCCGGTTGCACGGTATAATTTGCCCTAATTATGATAGATTGGTTAAATAACCTAATTCTTGTTAAAATTTGAAACTTATTTTGCAAAATTGGAACAGTCAATTGTTGTTGTATTTAGCCGTCAGTTTAGGACGTGTTTATTTTTTTAATGTATGTTTAATTATTTGTTTTTACCGTGTGAAACAAATTTTAAATATTTACTTAAAATTTATTGCAAATAATAATATGTGAGAATATTGGGTACAATCTCTAAATATGAATCATCTGATTCTTCACTTGCAATTTGACATGAATATAATTAAATAAATTAATTCAAAATTAAATCTTTAATCCTTCAAACATTTGCACGTTCTTCAAATCTTCGTTCTTGAGATCTTCGAATCTTCATTCGTCGAATCTTCAAATTTTCTTGAATTAAGAATTCAACTTGAAGGGCCTCCGGTTTTCAAGTGGTTTGATCTTCAACAAAATGGCCGTTTTATGGCTTGATCTTTTGTTTAAGGGCCTCCCGGGATATATGGCTTGATCTTCAATTGAATTCCAATTCAATCTTCATATGAGTATCTTCAAATCTTCAAAGATTCATTCTTCATATCTTCGAATCTTCAAAGTCTTGTTCTTCAGATCTTCGAATCTTCAAGCTTCGTTCTTCAGATCTTCGAACGTTCTTCAACTTTTGGATTTATTTTATTAAGAATCGACAAAATCACAAAGGATTATAAGTATATTCTTAATAAAATTCGTGGCTTGATCTATTCCTCTTCTTCCGAATCGTTCAGAGCCTTTCGGGAGTTCTTGAAACCTTTTCTGCAACATTTCTTCGTCTGAAAATTCTCTCTCCTGTTCCTCTCAATTGAGACCCCTATTTATAGGTGTGGAGGGGGTGAAAATATGCTTTTAGGATTGTGAAATTTGTTCATATGTTTAGGGCCCTGATTAAAATGGGCTTTGGGCTCTATTTACTTGTATTTAATAGCTAGGAAGGTCAGCACTTGTTCGATGTATCTGGACAGCCTTTTTAACAAGGTTCGCAGTCATTTTCCATGCATATGGATGAATTTCTTAACCATATTCATTGCTCTCTTTATCAATTGGATCATGACTCTTATTCATTGGGCTATTATTTAATAATGGGCTCAAAATAAACAAATTAATAGGACCGGTTCATTCTTTTCAAAGAATTAAATTCATTGGATATTTGAATGATCCGAATTAATTAAATTATATTTGAACGGATCCATAATAATATTTTCCTTTTGATAAGGCCCAATAGCCATCTTACGCAGCCCGGTAGAATCTGACGTTAGTCCAATAGCCTTGAGACCCAATAAGGTGCATAACGGTCCGATAGCACTTAAATGAGTTCAATAATACGTAGTATTAATAAAGACCATCATAAAATAATTAGTCCAAAATAATTTTCAATGTCCACAAATGTCCCCTCGAGACTTGCTTGGATTTTGGGATCGAGAGACATGTAAATCTCGAAATAAGTGGATTCAAATTCTCCCATAGGCCCGATAAATTGTACCAAATTACAAGGCCCACAAGTAATATCTTTTTTTTTTGTTCTCGAGGTGCTCAAACAAGTAATATCTTTTTTTTGTTCTCCAGGTGCTCAAACAAGTAATATCTTTTTTTTTTGTTCTCCAGGTGCTCAATCAGCTTCTCAGCTACGTACTGATCAAGTATCCCAACAAGAAGGAGTGTATTCAATCTCAAATTCTCAACTCTAGCATTCCAGTCCGTAGTAGGACTTCAATTCTTTACCTCTGACTAGGTCTGGGTCCGAAAAACCGAAAACCGAATCAAATTAAACCGAATCGCGACCAAATAAAACCGAACCGCTAAAAACCGAAACCGAATGTAAAAAACCGAACCGAACTGTAGTAGTTTGGTTCAGTTTTGGTTTTTATCCTTCAAAACCGAACCGAACAAACCGAACATAAATAAAATATGAAATTTTATTTGTTAAATGTAAACATTAATCTTAATATCATCAATAATCTTTGAATTTCTTGTGCTAGAGAAATAATGTTTATGCTATGTTTAGTTTAGTTTATAAATGCATTTACACATTCATTGCCCATAATAATGTAGCTATATTGATCTATTATGTCTTTTATGTATGTATGTTGCAATTTGTTGCATGATTATATGTTTTTACTAGTTATTAGTAGTAATTAACTTTTATTTTTATGTAACTTAATTCTTTTTTGTAACTTAATTTTTTTATATTGATAAAACAAATAAATATTCATCTCGGTTAAATCACAGGACGTATGTATTCATAAACGTTTTTCAAACTAGTCACAAACATTGTAAATTAAGAATAGATACACACTTTTGTCTCTCCCGCATACTCATATAATTCAAGACATATTTGTTTATTATTATTTTCTTCATTTGTTCAAGCATGCTTGCATTTTTATGTAATATGATTGATCCCTCCAACTTTTATATCAATTTTAAATTAAATGACAAATATTTAGTAAAAAACCGAAAAAATCGAAACCGAACCGAAACAAATCGAACCAATCAAACCGTGGTTTGAAGTTTTGGAGTGTACAACCGAACCGAAACCGAACCGAACTTTTACTTTGGTTCCATATTTGGTTTTAGGTCAAAACCGAATGGAAAGAACAAAACCCAACCAAAAAAAAAGGGATGACACCCCATCCCTGAGGGCCCCCAACCCCGACCGGACAGTACGTTGGGAGGATGTAAGTTGGACTATAATCCCAATCTGACAGATAGAGAGTGGGGCTCTGTCCCCGGTACTTGCAGAGGCCCTATGCATTTTTTAGCATAGTAACCCCTCATCGCAGTTGCCGGGATTCGAACCCGAGACCTAACCCTTGTGTCACTCCCTTCCTACCAGTTGAGCTACGCTCACCGGTAGAACAAAACCCAACCAAGTTCGGGACTTTGGTTCTACTAAAACTCTACTACCAATATATCTATAAATAGTAACCTCGCTGCTTCCTTTCTGCATCAAGAACCTGGCTGAAGCCTTAAGAAGAAAGATCTGCAAATCAATAGGTATACTTACTTTTATCTTAAGCTTTTTCATTTCTTTTGTCAAATTGCAGGGGATTCTTCAAGCTTTAGAAGTTATTATGTTTGATCAAAATCACCTTAACCAACTCGTGCTCGACGGAGGTTGGTCTCGTCAGAATTAAGTTTGGCCGGAGATTGGTGCCTTCGGAGACCGCATCAATTAAGCTTGACAGAGGTTCGTGCCGTCAGAATTAAGCTTTTCGGAGGTTGATGCTGTCAAGATCATCAGAATTCAGAGGCAGAAATAAGCTTGATTTCCAAAGTTATTATTTCAGAGAAGAGGGGAATAGATTTCTTATGGCGCTGCAGCGGCGTGGTCGCGCCGAGTTCAGATTGGTCTCCTGAAGAGGATGCTTGGCGGCGATCTTCTTTTGGTGGTGAACAGGGGACCAATGTTTCAAAGAGGGCCGGCACTGATTTTTCTTGCTATCCGTGCGACCGTGTTTCAAAGATATGGCCGAAGTTCGTGATGGTTTACAGTAGCGGCGCACTTCGGAAAAAATAGAAGAGAATAAGTAAACGATCTCAATTTTATTATGAATAAACCTAGCCTTATATACAAAGAGAGTACCGATCACAATAAGGGTAGGTATGCTAAAGATGGGAACAAATAAAAGAGTCTTAAATGGAAAAGAATCCATGCATAAATAAAACTCTATTCCTAAAATAATATCTCCAAGAGTACCGCCCAATACCCCCTCAAGTTGGCGCATGGGATTCAAAATGTCCAACTTGCGTAGGAGAGTATGAAATTGAGTCTTGTCGAGAGCCTTGGTAAAAATATCAGCAAGTTGCACAGTCGTAGGCACGTAGTTTGGAGCAATAAGTTTATCTTGAATAGCACCACGAACAAAATGGCAGTCAACCTCTATATGTTTAGTGCACTCGTGAAACACCGGATTATTAGCAATATGGAGTGCGGACTGACTATCACAAAAAAGTGGGATAGCCTGAGGATGTTGAACACCCAAGCTGAGCAAGAGCGCCTTCAACCATTTTAATTCAGAAGTTGCAGCTGCCATGGAGCGATATTCAGCTTCAGCGGAGGATCGGGCAACTGTAGATTGTTTCTTGGCTTTCCAGGAGATCGGGGAGTGACCAAGAAATACTAACCAACCAGAGAGAGCGGCGAGTAAGCGGACATGCAGCCCAATCAGAATCACATCACCCAGTAAGAGTGAGTTCACTATCAACACAAAAAAGAATACCCTGTCCAGGAGAACCTTTAAGATATCGAACAACCCGTAGGGCAGCCGACCAATGCTCAATAAGAGGACTTTGCATAAATTGAGACAGGATATGCACATAGTATGTAATATCTGGGCGTGTAACTGCTAAGTAGATAAGGCGGCCAACAAGACGACGATATCGTTCAGGATCAGTGATCAGTTGGCCGGTGGCAGTACCAAGGCCGTGATTTTGTTCGATCGGAGAAGAGGTCGGTTTAGCCCCCAAAAGACCTGTTTCAAATATAATATCCAGAGCATATTTACGTTGAGTGAGAAAAATCCCGGAAGGGCTACGAGCCACTTCGATGCCAAGAAAATATTTAAGATTCCCCAAATCCTTCATGTGAAAACATGTATGAAGGTATGATTTAAAAATAGTAATGGCCGCAGAATCATTGCCTGCGATGATGAGGTCATCAACATACACCAGAACATTAAGTTGACTATTTCCACGTGCAAGAGTAAACAGAGAATAGTCAGCATAAGATTGGAGGAATCCATAATTTTTTAGAGCCGTGACTAATTTAGCAAACCAACATCTTGACACTTGCTTAAGCCCATATAAAGATTTATGCAGACGGCATACCACCGTGGGGTCTTGAGTACGATAGCCCGGAGGGATACTTATATAATCTTCTTCATTCAAGTTGCCGTGGAGAAAGGCGTTATGGACATCCATCTTGTGAAGCTCCCAATTTTTACAAGCAGCGATAGCAAGGAATGCACGTACAGTTACCATTTTAGCAACGGGAGCAAATGTTTCAGTGTAATCAAGATCTGCTACCTGGCGATTGCCAAATATAACAAGTCGTGCTTTTAAGCGTTCAATGCTGCCGTAAGATTTATGTTTGATTTTATAGACCCATCGACACCCCAGGGCACGTTTTCCGACAAGTAACTGAACCAGACTCCAAGTGGAATTTTTCTCAAGAGCTTGGAGCTCAGCACGCATTGCTTGACGCCATCCCTGATCTTTGACGGCTTCTTGAAAAGACTGAGGCTCTGTAACAGAGTGGAGTGCTGCCAAGTAAGCTCTATGCTTTGAAGAAAAAGCATCACAAGTAATAAAATGTGTAATAGGAAACGGCGTACCTGAAGGAGGTGAAAGGGCAGAGTGTGCGGGAGATGGACTGTTTGTAATCACGGTGATGGACAGTCTACCCGGGGGTATATATCCGAAGGGTTATTGCAGGGAATAACTAGAGAGAAGTCAGAGCAAATAAGTAAGAGAGAGAGTGTATATTCGATATGTATTTAGCGTGGTTACAAATAGGGAAATGGGGTGCTATTTATAGTAGCAATAAATGCCGGGCAGGGACACGTGTCAAGCGCTCGTTGGCCGAGGGGTCACCTCAACTGGTTGGCGCTGGCAGCCGCATGTGGCCGCATTTAATGCGGCTGTTGGATGGGACGTCTGTGCGGGGTACAATGATCTGTACGCATGTGAGGCGGATATCTTGTCGAGTGAGATACCTTCGGCCATAGAGCAGTAGCCGAGGGCTCTTCCACCCGATGGCACCCTGGTGCCGAGGGCTCACAGTGCCGAGGGCTGATGTTTTCGCCGTTTTCTCCCAGTTTCTTAGTTTGCTTGAGAAACCCGTTCTGTGAGAATTTAGAGCCTTCGGCCGGGGGGCCGAAGGCACCCCTGGTGCGTAGTGCGAGCTGCTTGGTACTCTGGGCGCTGTGATTTGGGCCTGCTGGGCCTTCTGGGCCTGTTGGGCCTTCGCTGGAGTAGTAGGAGTCTGTGGGCCGGGGGTTCCCAGGCCATATACTCCATCAGGAGTCCCTCACTCCTTTTGCCGAAAGGTACTTGAGGGAAAAGGAGTAATTTGTGCTTGCCCTTTGATGTTGTCCTGTCGCGATCTCTGAAGTTGGTGAGGAGTTGTTGCTTTTATGTCCCTGCCGAAGGCAGTCCCTCAGTTACCCACATGTCGGGACTTGAGGGCTTGCTTTGTTGTTTGTTGGATTTTCACAGATTTTGTAATTTAATGATTTTCCCGAAGGGGTCCTCCAGTCCCCCACTCCTTGAGGCACTTGTAAAGTGGTGAAAAGGAGTAAAGCAGTTACGTTGCTGTTGTGGGCCGAAGGCTGACGCTTTTCGTTTCATTTTGGGGGGATGCCTCGTTAAAAACCTCATTAGGAAAAACCCTTTGGGAAAAAATCCTAATGAGGGAAAAAGAGTGCACCGAATTCCCCCAATGATGAATCGAAAATGTCAAACCTTGGTGGAAAATGGAGAATGACGGGAATGCCGAAGGCTCTCTCTTCTGAGGGCTCCTGTGTTGATTTGCCGAAGGCTTGCTGTTGATGTCCTGGTGGTGCCGAAGGGGAGCCCCTCAATCCAGGGATCGAGGGCCTGCCAGATGAGGGCAGCAGTGAAGTTGTTACCGGGGGGTCCACTGTTTGTTGATGAGTTGGTGATGAAGATACCCGAGGGCTCCCATTACCTGTGTGCCATGGGCCCTCCGTCAATGAGGCACTCCCCGGGGGCTACCCGGTTTTGCAGTGCTGAGGGGGAAACCCCGAGGGGTACCCTGATATGCTGCCCTAGGGATGTGAAGGAGTGATCCCGAAGGCGTGTGTAATGTGCTGTGTGGGGCACAACCCAGGGGCACTTCTGGGTGAGTGCACCCGGAGGCAATCCTTGATGAAGTGGAGTGAAGTAGAAAACCCGGGGGCTTCCAGAATATAGCCGTTGGAAATATAGCCGTTGGAATATGTAACGACAGGATATAGCCGTTGGAAATATAGCCGTTGGAATATGTAACGACAGGATATAACCGTTGGGGGGGGGGGGCATACGTGGCGTGTGATGGCTGGCTGTTCGTGGGCGGCGTCACCGGTTGGGTGAAACGGCGGTGTGTAATGATGGCGGTCCGTCCGGAGGCCCGAATCCAGGCCCAAGCCCGGATTCATCGCCTATAAATACCCCAAGGCCAGGCGTTCCTCCGTGTGCGAAAAACTTGTTAGCGAAGCTCTGCCAATTTTTCTAGAGAGAGAAACAGCAGCCCCCGGTTGAATCCTCTGTTCTTAAGGTCAGTTCTCCGGTTACCCTTCACCTCTTAGCTATCTGTACTGCGCCCTTAGGCTAGGAGATAGAACATTTAGAAAACACTAGTTGTACGAGCCCTCGAACTAGAGTCAGAATGTCGTCCCAGAGTGATTCTCAAGATATCTCGAGGACGCCCTCGATGGAGGACGAAGGCATCTCCGACGTGGAGTCAAGCAGTGGTCAACCCTCGGATGGTGGTGATGCAGCCCTGGCCCGGGAGGTTCAGAAGGAACTCATTGCGGAGGTTGAAGCCGAGGGCTTCGAGCAGGAGTGCGATGATGAAGACTTAGCCCTCGCATGGCAGACAGCGGAGGATGAGGCACAGAATGAGAGCTCGAAGGTCACGATTGCTGTTCTCCCCCCTCGGGGTTCCGGGGAGGCCAGTAGCTCGAGGCCGTTGGATCCGACACCTCTGAGGGCGGTTTCCGGTTTGAAGAAGAAGAAGGCCGCTACCAAGAAGAAGGAGAGGGCCGTCGATCAAGGAAAGCCCGTAGACATGCCCGAGGGGTACAGTTGGCTGAACACTGAGGCCCTCGAGATCAGGTCGAAGGCCGACAGGGCAGATCTGTACGTGACTCAGCTGCACGTGGGGCCCTCGGCCGAAGTGGTGGAGCCAGGTCCCGACGACGTGTTGTCCAGGGCGCCCGAGGGGTGTATTGCTATTCACGTCCTTTCGGTTTCCATGGGACTTAGGTTCCCTCTGCACCCATTCCTTCGGGAATATTTGCGGTTTGTTGGCTTGGTCCCCTGCCAACTCACGCCCAACAGCCACTCCTACATTGCGGGGTTCCTCCAGCTCTGCAAGTCCCGAGGGGTGAAACCCAGCCTGGATCTATTCTTCCAGAGTTTTAATCTGTGCCGGGGGGGGGGGGGGGGGCACGAAAACGGCGAGGGGTACGCCAACCTGCAGCAGATTGCCCGCTTCAAACTATTCTCCGATGCTCCTTCTTCCAACAAAGGATGGAGGGAACGTTGGTGCTACGTGAAGTTGGATGAGAGCCCATTCCCGAGGGAGCTACGTGACCGATTCCGAAGGCACGAAAAGATCAGGAGTGCCGCTCTCGAGAAAGACGGCCTAAAGCTGGCCAAGTTCCCGGAGGGGAAAAACAAGAACGTGGCGATCAAAGACTGCACCCTCGAGGAGGATTTATACACCCTCGGGTTCCGGAGGTACCGCTTCATAGGGGAGTCCGATGAAAAGTACCCTCCCTTCAACAAGGCCTTCGGAGGGGCCGGAGGTAGGAGCCGAGGGCTTTAGAATTTTGTACTTAGTTTTTTTTTTGCTTGGATGTTATCGTCCCTTCGCTTAGACCCGTCGGACTAACCCTTTGTCTCCTTTGTGCAGGTATCCCCGTCTCTATGGTGAATGTAAAGGGCCTTGCCCGTTTGAAGAAACAGGACCCGAAGGGGTCGGGACAGGGCATCCAGAAGCCCGCCACTGCCCTCTTTAAGAAAGCCGAGGGCGATGCCGCTGCCGGTAAGAGGAAGGCAGTGACCAAGGGGTCCCCCCCGGCTACCAAGAAGCCGAAGAAGGGGGATGTCGCCGAGAAGGAGCCCCCGGTCATTGTTGCTGATGAGCACCCCACCTCCGGGGTGCAGGTGGAGAAGCTGCCGGGTGGAACGCCGGCGGGGGCAGAGGAGTCGCTGCCTGAGATCCTCCAAGTCGCGTTCCCGAGGGGTATGTCTTTGGCCAGCGGCGCTGTCGACCCGGGGGCCATCCTGAGGGGTATGACCCCTGAGACGGATAGGGCTGCCCTTGGGGCCTACAATGATGCGGCCCTCGAGGACCACATTCTCCGCTCCTCCCTCTCTGTAAGTGTTTACCTGGTTTTCTCCATCTTCTCCTTTGATTATTTTTGTGTGATTGCCTTTAACTGTTTTTGTTGTTGTTCTGCAGGCTTGCTTAGCCCTCGGCGAACAGGCTCGGAGGCTTCAAGAATGGCGCCTCCACAAAGCGGAGCAAGACGCCAGAATGAGGGAGTGCCTCCTCAAGAACCAAGAGGCGGTGAAGCTGGGGGCCCAGCTAGAAGAGGAGCTCCGGCAGATGAGCCTGAAATTGGAGGCTGCAGAGAAAGGCAAGGCTGATGCTGAGGCCGCTGCCAGGAGAGCTGCTAAAGAGGCCGAGGACTCCAAAGCGCTAGCCGTCGCCAAGGCTCAGGAGGAGGCCGTTGAGGCCTTTGTCGCCGAGGGTTGGAGAGCCGAGGGGCGCAAGATGTGGGTGTCCTCGGTCGTGGAGGCCTGCGTTGAAGAATGGGCCGAGGGCCCTGGATGGGAATGGATGGCCCGGAAGGGCAGAGAGTACTATGAAGCCGGCGAATTCTTCACCCAGGCCCTCATCTACCGGAGGATGGCCCGACATTTGGGCATTGAGCAAAAGGACTTCTCCCCCTCGGCGTATGGCCTTCCTCCCTTGCAGCCTGATGTCCGTGAGTCGCTCCCGGAAGGTGTTCAGAGGCCCGACCTTGAGGACACGATGTTGAAGAATGAGGCCAAGGACGACGCTGTCGAGACCAGAGCGGAGGCATCATCGAGGCCGGCTGCAGAGGGCGCCCCAGGGAATGATGCCGTTGTAGTCGTAGAATGACTTTGTATTTAGAAATCTTTGAACATGTTTTGTAATGAACAACATTGTTCCTTCGGCTTCGGCCCGTTTGTAAATCTCACACTTACTTTGTTTTTGATGAATGCATGATTGCCCTCGGGCTGTGTTTATATGATTTGCTTTCTCCAATTCCTTTCTTCTCGAATGCGTGCTTTCAGTTTTGTTTTGAATGTATGTCTTTGTTCCTTTGAATGTATGTCTTAGGACTGAGAATACCATCTGATTGTAGCTAGCCCTTGGGAGCCTTCGGTAGTTGGGCACCCTCTGCTGGATATGCACCTGAGGGTTCAGCAGCAATTAGGACTTAGAAATTTTTTCTAAGTGTAGCACACCATAGGGCCTTCGGGTGATCGCAGTAACCCAAATCCTAGGACTTAGAAAAAATTTCTAAGTGCAGATTTCCCCTTGAGAGCCTTCGGGATATGGCCTCCCTTCCTGATGCGTGAATGTTGGACCGAGGGCCCAATGCACAGGATTTAGAGATTTTTTGCAAGTGTAGTATGTCATGTAGCCTTCGGCTACTGTGGAGCCCCACCTGAAATATTGAATAGGCCGGGGGCCAATTCTTTAGGACTTAGAAATTTTTCTGGAGTGTTGATTCCTTGTGTACTGTAGCCCTCGATTGATAGGTAGCCTTCGGCAATTAGGCCCCTTGAGATGAGGGTGAAATATGTAGGACTTAGAAAATCTTCCAAGTGTAGAGTTTCCCTTGGGAGCCTTCGGGAGATGGCATCCCTTCATGATGTATGAGTAGTTGACCAGGGAAAAACATGTAGGACTTAGAAAATATTCTAAGTGTGGATTTTCGCTTGGGAGCCTTCGGGAGATGGCATCCCTCCTTGACGTATGAGTAGTTGACCAGGGAAAAACATGTAGGACTTAGAAAATATTCTAAGTGTGGATTTTCCCTTGAGAGCCTTCGGGAGATGGCATCCCTCCTTGATGTATGAGTAGTTGACCGGGGGGGGGGGGGGAAACATGTAGGACTTAGAAAATCTTCTAAGTGTGGATTTTCCCTTGGGAGCCTTCGGGAGATGGCATCCCTCCTTGACGTATGAGTAGTTGACCAGGGAAAAACATGTAGGACTTAGAAAATATTCTAAGTGTGGATTTTCCCTTGAGAGCCTTCGGGAGATGGCATCCCTCCTTGATGTATGAGTAGTTGATCGGGGGGGAAAACATGTAGGACTTAGAAAATCTTCTAAGTGTGGATTTTCCCTTGGGAGCCTTCGGGTGATGGGTGCCCTCTGATTCCACACCACATCGCAGATGCCCGGGGGCTACTCATTTAGGACAGGATACTCCTTTTTTAAGTGTTGTTGTATTGCATGGCCTTCGGCCACCATATTCCCTTGGCTGTAATATTGATTGGGCCGGGGGCCCAATCTTTAGGTATTAGAATTTTTTCGAGTGCTGCTCCCCTGTGTAGCCTTCGGGTGCCCGGGGGCTGCTCCTTCAGGACTTAGAATTTTTCTAAGCATAAACTGATGTTGAATCCTGTTGTTGTGAAGAAAGCCAATGAGGAGTGTGTGCCCTCGGCATACACTTTAAAAGTTGTAGAATTTGACCCTTGTCATGGGGAAAGGGCCCTCGGTATTTGTGCATAACAGATGCCTTCGGCGTTTGTTTGAAGTACCGTTTAGTGGACCTTGGATAGTCCAGTCCCTTTGTATTGTTGAAGCCTTCGGTGTTTTTGTGACCGGAGGTGACCAGGTAGTGGACTTAGCCGTTTCCTGGTGATATTTCTTTGAGTAGTATCCTTCGGGAAACAGGAGTCTTCAATTACCGGAGGTGTTCCCGTGGGGAGCCCTCGGCATGTTGTGATCTGTTGGAGTGTACTCTTTGATTTCTCGCTGAGTCTACTCCCCTTCACCCCCCCCCCTTTTTTTTTATTTTTTTTTTGGTGGTGAAGGGAAGGCATCAAGAAACTTGGTTTCTTGGTAAGGCTGGGCCTATTAGGAGACCATCAGAATACACCAATGGCTCTCCTCCCTCGGGTTAACCTTCCGAGTTCCGAGGGGATCGAGGGACGTTTCCTGGGCACAAGATATGGTGGTCCGTAACCTGCCTCCCCTTGGGGGATGGCGCGGAAAGCGCCTCATTTTTGAAAGTCGTCCCCTCGGCGCCAGACATAGTCTGTGGCCTGCCACACCCTTGGGGTGGTGGCGCGGGGAGCGTTTCGGTTTGGAAGTCGGATCCTGGGCATTTCTCATACCTGTCATACCCTGGGGGTAGTGACGCGGATAGCGTTCCGTTTTTGAAAGTCGAATCCTGGGCATTTCTCATGCCTGTCACACCCTGGGGGTAGTGACGCGGAAAGCGTTTCAAGGAAGGGTTTTCATTTGCACACTAGTTGCAAATGGCCGGGGGCACTACGTGCCGCCGGCACCGATGGTGGCGCCTTCGGTATATGCGTCCTCGTGGGGTACGGCTTTTAGAAACAACACTTGGTGTTAGTTTCGATGTGTAGCCCCCGGTACTTGGTACCGAGGGGTCTTCAAATGAAACACTTGGTGTTTCCCAATAGATGTTTGGAAGTTGATAGGAGAGCATCTCCCTGGCACTGGGTGCCGAGGGGTCTTCCTTGAAACATTTTGGTGTTTCTCTCTTCGTTTCGATGTTTGATGATGGAGGTGAACCCTCGGCACTGGGTGCCGAAGGGTCTTCTGTAGGAACACTTGGTGTTCTCATCTTTTCTTTTTTGATGTTGAAGGTGGGGATGTACCCTCGGCACTGGGTGCCGAAGGGAAAGGAAACACATGGCGTTCCTTGTTGTTGGTGATAGGAGTTTCCTCCCTCGGCACCGGGTGCCGAGGGGTCTTGACTGAAAGCACGTGGTGTTCTCAATGTTTGTTGTAGGTGTTGATGGTGTCCGCCCTCGGCACTTGGTGCCGGAGGGGGTTCTTCTCGTGGTGAGGCCTGGGGCCTGTAGTTAGTATGAGGGCTTGATGTCTTGAATGTATCTTCATTCTTCGAAATTGGAGGCCTTGGGCCATAGGATAGTACATTCACTGGTTATGAGGGCTTGGCCGCTCTTACATTATTGATAAAATTTAACTAAATGGTGTACATTCCAGTGCCTAGGGACTTCTTTCCCATTGGGGCGTTTGAGCTTGTAGGTCCCGGGTTTGATGATGGCTGCTATGATGTAGGGGCCTTCGAATTTTGGTGCCATTTTTCCTCCCTCGGTTGGTAGGCTGGCTTCCCTCCTCCGGAGGACATAGTCCCCCACTTGAAATTCTCGGGTGCGAACTTTGGCGTCGATGTAGCATTTAACTTGCCTTCGGTAGTTTTCTGCCCGGATGAAGGCCTGCTCCCGGCGTTCTGAAATGAGGTGGAGGTCGAGGGCCATGTTGCTGTCGTTGACCTCGGGGTCGTATTGGATCACCCTTCGGGCAGGAAGGGTGACTTCCGTAGGAGCTTTGGCTTCAAAACCGTAGCAGAGGGAGAAGGGTGTTTCACCTGTAGCGCGCCGAGGGGTAGTGCGGTAGGCCCAGAGGATGTTGTGGAGTTCTTCCACCCAGCCACCGCCCTCGGCCTCTAGCTTCTTTTTGAGGCCCTCGAGCAAGGTCCGGTTGGCATTTTCTACTTGCCCGTTTCCTTGAGGGTAGGCAACGGAGGAGAAGGTGTGTTTGATGCCCCATGCCTCCAGAAGGGCACAGAAGGGGGCTGCCTCAAATTGTGTCCCATTGTCGGAGATGATCTGCTGGGGGACGCCAAACCTTGTGAGGATGTTCTTGAGGACGAAGTGACGGCACTTTGCCTCTGTGATGCTGGCGAGGGGTTCAGCCTCCACCCACTTGGTAAAATAGTCGACGGCCACAATGATGTATCTGTTGTTGGAGGTACCCCTCGGCAGAGGGCCCACAAGGTCTATCCCCCATCGGGAAAACGGGACAGAGGTGCTGATGGGGGCGTAGTTGATCGCTGGCCTGCCGGGAGCTTTCTGGAAATGTTGACATGCGGTGCACCTCCGGGCAAGGTCAGCACAGTCCCTGGCCATGGTTGGCCAGAAGTAGCCCTGGAGAATGAGCCTTCGGGACATGGAGAAGGGTCCCTGGTGAGCTGAGCAAGTGCCACTGTGCACTTCCTCCATTGCGACCTCGGCTTCATCTGGATGAAGGCACCGAAGTAGCGTGCCATTGTAAGATCGTTTGTAGAGCCTCCCATCTTCGATGGTGTAGCTGGGAGCCCTCAGTTTTGCCAGTTTAGCGCGGGCCTCATCCTCGGGTAGCTGCCCTGTGGAGATGAAGGCGGTGATATCTGAGATCCAATCCTCCTGACGTTGTTGTATGTTCATCACGGGGCTTACATGGATGCTTGAGAGGCTGAGTTCCTCGATTTTGGCAATTTTGGAGATGTGCTCGGGGGAGTCTGCCGAGAGTTTAGATAATATGTCGGCCTCGGAGTTCTGAGCCCTCGGTATTTGAGTGAGAGAGTGTGCCTCAAATACCTTAAGCAACTCTTTGGCCGCTTCCTTGTACTGTTTCATTCTCCCCTCCTTGGCCTCATATTCTTCGGAGATTTGGCCAACGACCAACTTGGAGTCGCATTTGATGTGGATCTGCCGAGCCCTCATGTTGGCAGCCAGCCGAAGGCCACATAGGAGGGCCTCATACTCGGCCTCATTGTTGGAGACCTTGAAGGAGAAGCGGATTGCATAGTAGGCCCTGAAGCCCTCGGGAGTAATGAGGACTACCCCTCCCCCGCATGCTTTGGTCGCGGAGGAGCCATCAGTGTAGAGGGTCCACCAGTCGTCCGAGGTAGCCGAGGGCTCCCCGTCCGTGGCTGCCCTTGCGGTACATTCCGTCACAAAGTCCGCCAGGGCTTGGCCCTTGATGGCAGGCCTTGGACGGTTGTCAATGTTGTATTGGCTCAAGAAGATAGCCCATTTCACCATGCGGGAGGAGCTGGTGGGGCTCCTCATGAGGGCGCCGAGGGGTTGATGGGTGAGGACCTGAACCGGGTGAGCTTGAAAGTAGTGGCCCAACTTCTTGACAGTCCAAACGATGGCCAACACCGTTTTTTCCACAGGGGAGTACCTGAGCTCGGCCTCCCTTAGGGTCTTGCTAACGTAGA